GGGAGGGAGGGAGGGAGGGAGGCAGGCAGGGGAGGGAGGGAGGGTGGAGGAGAGAAGGAGGTGGGAGACAGAAAGAGAGAGAAAGAGAGAAACAGAGAGAAAGAGAGAAAAAAGAGAGAGCGAGTGAGAGAGACAGAGGTGGGTTCAGGGTAGGATTATGGGTTCCAGGGCATAGTGTCTCGGGTGTTAGGGTTCAGGCCTTTCCCGGGTCAGGGTTCAGCGTTTCGGGTTCTAGCGTTGAGGGTTTAGGGTTCGGTGTTAAGGTTGCTTTCGGCAATTTGGCTTTCGGCCCTGATCACCGAACCTGCCAGACATCGTGTCGGAGGCTTCCAAAACTTGTCTCCCAAAACAGCACCTATACAATGGCCTCAAAAATCACCCCGAACCCAGAGGACCAGAGCTGCGAATGTTAGAGTTCGGGGGGGCAGTTGTATAACTGTATGTGTCGGGATATTAATATGATCTTTTCGATTATCCCGACCTCTATATATTGCAGTGTCGCGGGAAATCGTAAATTCATTTGGTCATAGACACGAAGGTTGAGCATCACCACAACTGATCAACCTAAACCGAGTCTCAAAGACTCTAGGGACGGTTAGGGACAGCTGTTGCACCCGTTTGTGAGCCCAGAGCCTGAGGACCCTAAACCCTAGAAAGCCGCGTAAGAACCCCTGTAGCACATCTTTGCAAGGCACGATGTCCTATTCCCGAGGAGTCAGGCTTCACCATTCGAGGAGTGCTTCAACAAAGCGTATGAACGCCAAAAAGCATGCCGAGGACATTCCTCCCATGTTACAAACCCCACGGGTCCCTATGGGAATTATGGTGCAGGCTTACGGCAGGGGATTTTGGAGTTAGGGCTTAGCGCTTTAGCGTTTAGGGCTTCAGCGACCTAGCGAAAACATGTTGGGTTGTATTGGTCCTATGCGTCGCAAGGGTCGTCGGCTTTAGTTTTGAGGTGTAGTGCTGAGGTTTCAGAATGTCAGGACAGGGGTTGTTCGACAATTTTCGGAAGCCCCAAGGTATTGCATGCCAAGTGTGAGCCGGTTGGCTTCAACGGCATGTCCCAACATTATCTCGACAAAAGAAGCTTTCGAGACACCGCTGGGGCCACTTGCCCGGTCAGGTGCTGCTGGCGCTTTCAAAGTCGCCAAGTCAAAGCCCCGAAGCCCGAAACAGTCAAGACCGAGAGAAGCTACAGAACAGGAAAGCTGCGAAACCCAGACCCAAAAGGCTTCGGGACAAGGGCTTTGGGCCTGAGGTACACCCTATAGCTCCTACCATAATAGTAATCATAATAATAATAAGAAATGCAATAATCATAGTAGTAATAATAATACGAACATGAATATTATTAATAATAATAATAGTAATCATAGTAATAATAGTAACAATAGTAATAATGGTAATAATAACATTAATAGTCATAGTAATAATAATGGTAGAAATAATAATAGTAATAGTCTTACAACATGAAAAACCTGACAGACTCCGCACCGAGATCGGCCCTCAGAACGCTGGGGTTTTCGGGTCTGGGGCTTCGGGTCTTAAGGGTTTCAGGGGTTTTGGGTTTTGGGGCCGTAGCACTTAGGACCGCTGGTAACAAGGCATCACGGCTTTCGGGTTTTGGTTGCGGGCTTGCTTTTGGGGCCTATAGACTATAGCCAAAATCGCCTTGCAATAACAAGTACCGTCAAGTACCACAAGGGACGAGCGGCTGACTAGCGAGTTTTGTGCAAGGGGATCCAGCTCCAAAAAGTATCGGGGGCCTGAGACACCCACATACGAAAGGCTCGACAGGGCTCTCTATTTCACAATGGCTCCAAAGGAAGCCCTAATCATAAGTTTCACAAAAGATCCGACAAGCCCGTGGACTTGCACCCTAAAGCGTAACCCCTAAACCCTATATACGATTAGACGGCAGAATCTAGCAGGTTACAATGAGGATGACAATGCTAGCAATAATCAGCGTAAGAATGATGATACCATTCACTAGTATAGCAATCATCATCAACTCACATCTGTACCGCGGCATGGATGGCCTGGAAGAAGTGGCACGTGCTCCGCACGCCAAACATCTGAGCCCCTGCCAGTCTTGGCCTTTCATGCACCTCTAAGGTTTAGGGTTTAGGGTTTAGGGCATTGACGCATCAACTTTCTGACACTTGTGGTATCGCGCTTGCACATGCTTGCACCAGCTGATGCTCTGGAGGCTTGCACGACTGGGTCAAGCCAGGGTTACGATCATATCCAAAGTCTCCTGATCCTCCAACACCCGAGCGATTGGGGTCATGATGCTGTGAGCATCGTAGAGCAGAGCAACGATGGGCTAGGAGTGCAAAGCAGAATCTGTCGATGTTGCTGTGGATTCGGACTCTCGCCTGGTGCATGTTTGCATGACCCCAAGTCCTGCATACATGCATACACACATAAGCACGCACCTACCTACCTACCTACCTACCTACCTACCTACCTACCTACCGGCTAGCTAGACCAGCTAGACACATACATTCACACATGCAGACATGTAGCTGCATACATAGACTTCCATACTTGCATACATGCACACGAAACTGCATGAGCAGAAGAAACACATAGAGGTTTTATATCTACACATGTATGTATAAGTACAGGCACGTATACGCGGACATATCTACCACTGACTCACTAACACTTACACATGGGAACACATTTCTTACAGGGAGCCAGACTCGAAGACTCTAATTATATTCGCGAGCACACGTGTGGAAACACGTTTACAATCGACGTCTACGTCGATCGAGATCACAAATATATTAGATACGTACATACATACATACATACATACATACATACATACATACGTACATACATGCATACATACATACGTACGTACATACATACATACATACATACACGCATTCTGTACAAGAACACATACACACACATATATATATATATATGTATGATATGTGTGTTTTGTCTATTCGGTTGTGCAGTCCCTTTGTGACAGGAGCCCATGTTAAACAAGGAGCACTCTGCGCTTGCAAGAGTGTGGAACGGAGGATTGTGGCCGCTGCTTGGCGACCAGAGGCGGCGGTCCCAGCAAAAGACGTGAAGTCAGTGACGCATCTTTGGCGATACAAGTGTTCGCCGACTTAGACTTGAGACTCGGAGCTTTTATACTATAGGATTTTAACACAAATGATGTTGGTCCTGAGGTTGTCACGTCGACTGCGACCTGACCCCGGGCTAATCCCCTAAACCCTTGGTTCCCATGCTCGCCCTATGCCCTATGTTCTCAGGGTTTAGGGTTTAGGGTTTCTTCGGGTGCTTGTGAACTTCCGAATCATTCCGCTGAAAAGACTGATGGCACTACCTGAAATTCCCCGAAGAGCCCGGGAAACCCTACAGTCCCAACTCCCTAAGCTCAAGGTGCTAGTCCAGGGATTCGGAATCATTGGGAATCTCACCCCGAATCCCTAAACGCTAAAGGCTTTAAGGTCTACATTCAATACCCTGCTCCCCGAAACCCTAATTTCCCCAAGCTACGAGTGCTATACGCCCTAAACCCTGAACACTAGAGCCCCAAAATTTCAAAAGCCAAAACCGTTGGGACCGCCCCTCTGAACGATGCCGCATCAGTCGGCGGTCTTCGCCGCTCTTGTCGCCGTGTTCCAAGGGAGGCTCTCCTCTGGCAACTCCTCGCAGAAGCGCGAAAAGCGCGAACGGTTATGGGGGTTTAGGGCTTAGGGATTTGGGGTATTTTTGTGGTGTAAGCATCGTTAGGAACCCTGCCCTACGGAAGAAGATCGGGAATCATTCAGGCTTCTTTTGCAAAAAAAGGGTTTGGAGATCTATCGTAGCACAACTTCATTATAGGCTTTAGTGGTCTGCTATCACTTACTGTTCCGAACTGGGTCTTGACCACGTGGTGTTTTGGAAGCCCTCAAGCCGCAAGCCATCGTAAAGCTATATAGATACCTCCAATCACTCACAAGCCCGACACCTCGTCGCGCAAAGGGCGAAAATGCCTACCCAGCAGCTTGAGCCTTTATGTTTTGCAAAAGGCAGCACCTGAACTAACTTCTTATATTTGGGGCATCGGCAGCAGCACAAGCTCAGTGAACTCAAACTCGAACTGCTGCAAATGTCATGGAAACATTGACCCACTAATAGTACACGTTCACTGGTCTGACATGCTCTTCTGTAATTCACATGTGCTCATCAGCACGACTCATGTCCAGCCCCTGCAATCACCATGATGCTCTTTTGGAAGGTATCCCTAGCATCCAGATCATCGCTCCAACACATTCTGGGCCTTGTATTTCTCTGTTGCTTCGCCTGAAGAACCTACATAATTTAGAAGAGCACCCTCTTGCCCCACCAGCTGGTTAACGGCCTTGATCACGTTCGCGCCGATGACCAACGCGCCTCCTGAGAAAATGCTCCGCAAAAATCCCTAGTTTAAACCATGAGCTTGTGTGAGTCTAAGGTCGTTTGGGTTTGGGTCGAAGGTGTCGTTGCTTGCGGCTTCGCCTATGGGATCGCGGGTCTCGGGTGTACGGTCCGGGGTTCGATTCTCGGCCTTTCTTCCATATTTTAGGGCTCATGGAAGGACTTGGCGGCTTCCGAAGTATTGGATCGAGAACTCCACACCCAATCACATGGCCCTTAATCCCCAATCTTTAAGTCATCTCAAGCAGTACAAGTACCAGCTTTCTGCTGCTAACCGTAAAGCTTCTAAGCACCAGGTGAAGTATTCTCGGTGTACATCGTTATCTTCGGCGTGTCAAGCTGCGCTTTACACGGAGGAGTTGCAGACTCATCGACGTGGTAGGCCCCAAACATCTGCGATTGAGTGAAATCTGACCCCAGCAAGAGAACCCCGAACCCTCAACTCTAATGCGAGGGCGGAAAGGAGCACTGGGAGCATGACATAGCAATATCATGCTGCTATGGGGACTATGAAGGTATTGTACTGCCAATCATTCCGACTCACTTTTTGACGCCCCAAACCGCCCATTGATAAAAGCAGAACCACGGCTCCGATGGCATCCACTGCCGAGAAGGGCTCGTTGATCCTGGAACTTGCAGAACTTGCGCTTGGAAAACACAGGGGCGACGCAAGAAGGAGTCTTCTTAGAAATGCTTGCCCAAACCCTACGCGGCTTCAAGGACGTTTAGGTCTTTCGGGGCTCCGAAAAACGAGCGTCTCGATTCCTACATCACCGGCATCCTCAGCACCCTTTCACCACGCAATGGGAAAAGCAGAACATCTGCAAAGCTGGACCAAAGAATCTGAGGTTTGGGGGTCTTAGGGTTGAGGGCTTTTGGGCTTGTGGCGTTGGGGTCTATGGCTTAGGAGAAGGATTTCCTGCGCCTTTAGGTCTTAGGGCTTTGGGGGTTTCAGGCAAGCTGCTTGCAGAGCGAGTAAGGATCCCCTACGCTTGCAATTAAGGCCTTAAGGCTAAGAGCCCAAGCCTTAAACCCAAGATCTCAAAATCCCATTTTGTTTCAAAGGGCCAACACTCTGAGCTCTAAAATAAAAATTCCGAGGCATCCAAGAGGCAGCCAAACAGCGAAGATTGCTGCCCAGAGGGGCTCCGTGGTGAAGATCACCTGAAGCTTTCGGGCGTAGGGTTTAGAAGGGCTTAGAGAAGAAGGAACCTGCGACCCAAACCCTGCGGGGTTCCAACACCTCAACCCCTCGGGCCCGACCTCTTGGGGGCGTCGGATGTTGGGCGCTAGAGTCCATGGGTGAGGCTCCCATGTAAAGTACTCGGAGAAATACATGGACGGGGCGCTTGAGCTGAGGAACTGGCTCTTCTGGATTTCGGGGTAACAGCACGGGCTTCAGGGAACCCTATGACCGGTGCCAGGGAACTGTCAAGGAACGTCCTGCAGACCTAGGAACTTTCAGGTGCCCTTCGGAGGAAGGGAACCGCGAGATCCGTCAATCAAGGTTGTGAGGGCTCATATTCCCTTATTATCGTCCCTATATACCTATATACATAACTACCGAAACCCCTGTTCCAAAGAATTAGGGTTGTAGGCAAACAAACTCTACTTCCCGAATATGAAAAAGGTAAGGACGTTAGAAACAAGCAAAAGCCTCGCAACCCGTACAAACGTCCCACTTTGCAAACGATTTGGAACCCCCAGACCCGAGCAAATCATCCCTAAATCTCTATCGTCCAAGTCCCTAAACGCTACACCCTAGACTCCTAGACCTTTGAGCCTGAAGTCCCAAACCCCAAGCCCGAGACGCTTGCCCCAAACCGCTTCCTTTTCGCGACCGTGTAGCTGACGCCGAAGTGGCATCGATGAAACGGAAGGCTACAGATTCCACCACCAGAGCCTCAAATCCGGCCGGTTGAAACCGACAAGTATAACGCCGATTTAAGGTTGAGGGTTAAGGCGGTTAAAGGCTAGCTTAAGGTTTAGGGCAATTGGTTCAGAAATTCTGTTTGGGGCTCTTACGGTTTTGCGTTTAGGTGTCACGGGGTCGGCGACCTTAGGTGGAGACTCGATTGACCGCTTGGCAGTTGTAACTTGGGTTTTTAACTACACAGTTTTCATACGAGCATTTCAGGAGAGCTGGGCGTTATTTTGCTGACTCGGCTTATGGATGATTTTATGATTTAAGGGTTGCTTCTTCGATGGTTGGGCTGTTTCTTGTCTGGGTTGCGGCTGCATCTAAAGTCGAAAGGCTAACTGATGACCATAGGATTCGCACGTGACTCGAAAGGCGCCCAGGAGAGTGGAGTGTAGGTTGGAGGGTAGAGTCTTTAAAATGGGTTTAGGCTTTAGGGTTTAGGGTTTAGGGTTGTTATTTTGGAATGAGCGTGGTGGACCATAAGGGCACACCAGAAGGGCTAACACTATATAGGTCTATAGGTGAGACCAGGGTGTGTTCAAATCGCCACAAACAAAACAGCCAAGATACTGCCAGATGTAGCGAGAGTTTGGTCTTAGATTTGGGATTGCGGATATCGTGGAATGTCATCTCCACTTTCTGCCATGCCGCCGCCCCACTCGCCCCCCCCCTCTGCCCGACCAGTATGAACGCTGCGAAGCCATGGAGCTCTCATCCTCCAACGCCCAATCCCGGCAGCCGATGCAACATCGATAACTGCAAATCAGTAGAAAGCTGTACTGCCCCCCACCCCCCCCGGCCCGTCCCCAGCATGAGTACTTCGCTCAAATATTTGGTGGTACAGTTCAGTCTCCCCCGAGCAGTTCGATTACACTCTGGGGACTTAGAGCACGGAGGGATTTTGGCATTGAGGGCGCCATGCGGTGTGCATTTTGGATTCATGGGGTGGTCTGGGAAGCCTCTGCATTCGGTTGAGGCATCCGAAACACCCTGACTCATATATAGGGGGCAAAATAGTATTGGGAATTATCTAGGCCCCTAAAGTATCAACTTTCCTCAAGAAAACCAAGTCTCCACCCTCAAAGCTGAATCAATCACATGCTGAGCGTTCTGGGCATCCGACCAAACCAGTGGTGACCAGCCCAGTATACAAAATGCCCGTCCTGGGAGTAGGGTTGGGCTTAGAGCAGCAATGCTGGTTAGACTACGGTTAGACCCTCGATTTTGGAGCTTTCGGTTTCGTGTTTTTTCAGGTGTGGTGTTTGACCATTAGGCTGGACAAGGTGCTTTGGGCTTTAAACACCAGAGTGACGATGCTGGGCCTCCCATTCTCCACCTGAACCCCAGAACGCTAGCCCCAATTGCTTTGTTAGCATGCATCCCTCCCCCCAAACAAAAACGAACCCTGAACCCTCAACCCCAACACCCTAAACCCAAAACCCTGAACCTACACCCTGAACACTAAACCCTAAACCCAAAAGCCTACATCCCAACACCCTAAACCCTAAACCCAAAACCCTGACACCCTAAACCCAAAATCCTAGGCTCCTTCGTGCTGCCATTCACGGTGCGGGGGGAGCATCGGCCAACTCTTGTCTGATGTGTCCGTAGTAAGCCCAGAAGCCTAAACCAACACCCCAGCACCCTAACACCCCAAAGCGAACCCTCATGGACATTTCTTCTCTGGGGCCAAGGGGCAGTGCCGTAGACGAGGCAAGGACCGGCTCGAGGTCTGGGGAACCGGTGGTGAGCGCCTCAAGACTTCATTTCTGGAAGGGCTCAGGGTTTAGGGTTCCAGAAGAGCTCTATAGGGACTTTGGATGCTTTTAAGGCTTAGGACTTAGGGTTTAGG